ATAAAATGTGAAGCGCTTACAATTGCTCAGCATCTCAATATATGCCTTGCTACATCTTGGATTTCTTCTTTAAAAACCAGAACTGAAATCAAAGCTGATGATTTGCAATCATGAACATCAGGAAATAGTTTCAAAAGCAGTACATTAAACAATTTAACTTTTGTCGAATTTCAAATGAAAAATAGCAGTGCACTCCCTGACAGATATGTGCCTATGCACTCATGTTTCTAGTCTCATAGCTGTAGGTTTGCAGGGTAAGATCACCGATGGCACTGCTGTCTCTGACTGCTAGTCTCAGGAGATTTGTAGTGAGATTTGGTGATGTCACTACTGTGCAGCTCACTGTTCTCCTTGCTGTGCAGGAAGATGTATTTGACAATCTGCAGTGCAAGGATCTCCCTGCTTCTGATTCATTCACTCTGTATCTCTCCTTTCTGCACCTCTTCTGTTGCTTTTTTAATATTCCCCCACCAGTCATCAGAGGGCAGCTCTGTGTGAGGAAGCCAAGCCCTGCTTCTACCAAGATGACCGTCTCCACTCAAATACAAAATGCAGTACAAGGTCTGGAAAGTCAGTGATGGGGAAAATGTCAGCTAAAGGGAGACCACAGGCAATAGTGACTAATATTTTACTCTCCACTTGCGTTTTTCAGCAGAGCTTCTACGGTTAAAAGAGAAGTACGGCCAAAGCTTTTTTGGCCATACTTCACTTCTGGGTCAGAGGAGAGCATTTATGCAGTCCTGTGACCCAGATTCACCTGACATGTTGGCTGATGTTACAGAGCTGCTTCTGGCTCTGAAGGGATCCTGCCAATTTTGGGATACACCCAGATGCCCGACCAGCAGCAGGCTCAGCCTCTCAGTGTGCTGTTCACAGTATGAGCCAACTGCTCCTGCTCCCTCTACAGCCTGGTGCTCCAGTGAGTGCTGGAGGGGAAGAGCAGAGAGCTGGTGACGGACGGTCACTACTCTCTGCTCACTGAAGACAGAGGAACTGAATGATCATTGGTCGTGTGATCGCTTGGTTCTCAGTCTTTGAGCCAGTGTGGGACAGCTGCAGCATTGGACTTCTTCAAGTTCCTCTTTCAAGGGAAATCACATGCAATAAATATGTGGTATTAACAACTTTTTAAATGCTGTTCGTGGGCACGAGGTTTGGCTTTGAGTTAGAGAAGAAATCCAGTAGGCTTCCTATGGTGGCACACCAAGAAGAGGAAGAGCCAGGATTGCTTGTAGGGGACCAAAGGAGGAGGTTCGGGCCACTCTGTGCAAAACCATTGCACAGAGCAGGTAAGTATAACATGTTTAAAAAAAAAAAAAAAAGTTAAGGCTAACAATCACTTTAAGTGTTTTCATTAATCTATGTTAAAATGAAGAAATCTCAGGTGTAACTGCGCTCTAGAGAGATTATACATGACTGGTCAGGCTAGGATTGCTCATAACCAGGCACCTAAACCTATTATATAGATCAAAACCAGCACTCAACTTAAAAGTCCCTGTGCCCAATATCCACTTCGCCTCTCACACCTGTTCATCCCTTATGGATCAGAGCACTTTTTAGGGCTTGTTCACACTTGACTAAATTTCTAACTTTTCAAAAATGTCCCTATGGGCATTAGACAGGCGTTAATCAGCTTTAGTATGGGCGTTCTACAAGCATTAAAAACGGTCCCCAAGTGCCCTATGCGAGGTTTTGAGGCGTTTTACAAGCATTAAAAACCGCACTACAAACGCCTATAATAAACACCCCGCAAACGACTGCCAAGAGTTTGAGGAGCATCACCATAGACTTGATTGAAAGGCTTCAACTCCACCTGACTCGACATCAGGCTTCAGTTTTGAAGCGACGCAACACTAATGCTTCATGTTTTGCTAATGTGAACAGCACTGTGTGCTGCCCATAGTATGATTTCCGTAGGCATTTGAGGAGCATTAAAAACGCCCCTCAAACGCCTGCTATCAAAGCTAGTGTGAACGAAGCCTTACATTTTTCTGCTATGAACCTGTTTATTCGACGATAACTTAAGATAAAAAAAAAAAGGTAATACATGTAAGGAAGCTTTCTTTTCATGAATGCCGTCTTACAACAAATGATTGTTTTTTTTACCAATCCTTAAACAATTAAAAAGCACAAAAAAAAAAAAAGTTGCAAAAAACACGTTTTTTGAGCAGTGTTAATTTAAAAATAAAATGGCGTTACTGCACATAAAATTCCTATTTTAAAATGACACAAATTATTGTTCTGGTACAAAGCATTGCAAAGTGATTTACAAATTAAATAAAAGTGGGTTTTTTCAATTTTGTGCTTTTCTAAAAACGTGAAATTTGTAAAACATATGTTGTTACAGGTGTAAAAATTTTAACAAAAACAAAATAAAGTTTCAAATATTATTTCATAAAATAGAAACAAAAATCAGCAGAAAAATAATAATTAAATGGAGGAGAATAAAGAGCTAATTAGGGCTGATTCGAGTAAACTAAGGGTTAATAAAAGGTTAAAACAGGAACATTTTTTTTTCCTTTATTAAAAGAAAAAAAAAAACAAAACAAATTTTTTCACTGTCAGGTTGGTTTAACTGACTTCATCTGCAGAAGCAAGTTCATCTCTTTGATCTGTAGATGAATAAACAGATACCAAATGAATTGTTTCTTTTGAACAATGCTGTTGATAAACATTGCCAGACTGCTTTAGTTTGACAACACCAGCTGTCTCTGTGTACTCGGCTTCCCCAAAAGGGAAAGTTCCCCTTTAAGGCTTTGTCCCCCCACTCCACATTAAGGATTGGTACCAATTTGATAGCTACCCGCTCCCACTCCTGGTGTGATCGCATAAGGAGATCGGAAGCAGAAGTCGTCACACGTGACAGGTCCCAGAACACTACGGGACCATTCACAAGCGCGGAGCTACTCGAGCTGTGTGAAACCACAAGCTGTCACAGCCGGGTGCCCACACTAAAGATGCCGATGTCGGGGAGAGAAGACAGCTGGTGAAACCAGCCATGGTGAGGATACCGCTGGACTGGGGCACAGGTAAGTGTCTGTATTTTAAAAGACAGCAGCTACAGATTTTGTAGCTGCTAACTTTTTTTTTTTTTTTTTTTTTTAAATTCAACTGGAACTCCGCTTTAATGAAAGCTGAATGCCGAGTACTGTGTCAGGGGAGGTCCTGGAAGCAAGGCAGAAAGACTGGATGTATTACACATGCCTGGTGTACAATGATGACACTTTTTGGGCATGTCCAACACGTCCAGAGTCTGCAATTGGATATAGTCTACAAGGTTATTATATGTTCTCACCAGAAAAACTGACCCCTCTCACAAATGGATCAAAATAAAGCTTACTGTGAACCAACATCCACGTATGTCTTGTCTTTACCTCAGCCACTCATGTTATAATAATCAAATGTACTTATACCTATTGTCATTACTCAAGCATTAGAATGTCAGGTTTACTGGCTTTATGCTGTATTAAACCCAAAAGCAAACATATTGCAGCTTACCAATATTATATGTGATGGCTGCATTAGTTTTCTTTCTAGGCTTACTTCAATTTAATCTGGTGATCTAGCCAGTAAGTCTGTTTTTCAACAAAAAAAGGTTCTCTTGCAGTTACAGGGATGAGACAGACCATTTAACACTACCAGGGATGCTTAAAATTATCAGCTTTTATGTAAAACATTTCTCCCAAAAAGAAAAAAAAACATTTGCTGGAACGGATTATAAAGTATTGGCTGGAGTTCAGCTTCAATTTGTTATTGTATTTAAATCTACTAGTACTGCCCCCAGACTGACAATATTACTGTCCAAGCCTGCCCCCATGCTCATTCATCTAAAGTGGTGTCTGTATAATACAGGATGTGTGTTAACTGCCATATCAACAGGTGAAAACAGAAAAAAGCCTAAAACAAAAAACAAAAAAAACTAAATACAGCCAATACATCTGTCTGGTAGGCTGCAATATAATTACATTTTTGGTTTTGGGTTTAATACCACTTTAAAGTGTTACTAAACCCACAACAGTAAAATCAGCCCATATAGGAAGTAAAGCATACTCGTTGTACTCACTGTAGAACCTAAGGAGTTAATCCTCTGCAAAAATGATGTTTGTTCCTCACTTCTCTGATCCTCCCCTTCTTTTACTGTCCCCAATTCATCTGCTGATCAAACAGAGCCTTGGGGGCAAGCTGCACATGCTCAGTTTGGGGTGTATAGCTAGAGTTTTTTTTTCTTTCTTGGGAGAGTGCATGTGATCAGCACAGGGCCAATCAGCGCTGTCCAGACAGACAGTCAGCGGTTATGCAGCCTCATGGGACAATCAGGAGAATAAAAACTCCTCCTACACGCTTTAACCAGTGCTCTACTGGACACAGATAGAATTCACAGGACTGCTCTAACTGCTGATGAGAAAAGATATTTAGCAGTTTTTTATTTACTAACATAATTGCACGTCCATGCTCTGTGTATTGTGGGAGACCGGATATAGTGAATAAATGGTCCTGGGTTTAGGAACACTAAGTTCTCATATGTCATAGCTGCCTCAAAGGAAGAACAAAACACAAGTTAGATAATAATTTTTTATTCTACACAGTGCAATGAAATGACATTTTCTTGCATTTCAATGAATTATACCATTTGAGAGTCTCTAGGCAATAGAGTCCATGACATACAGATATCACTATGCATTTAAATGCTTAATTGGTTTTTACCAAATTTATCTTTTGACGTGGCATTTTCAAACTCGATTTCTTTTTATGTAGTGCAGCCCAAAACACTCTGGTAGAAGTTACACGCTGACAAAGTCTTAAAATCCAAGCATTATGAACACATTAATGAGATCTTGATGAAGTGCTGGCAGTTGCTATGTAAAGTCTGCACAGTGTAATGCAAAGAAAGGAGCAGATGATAGCATGTTGGGGCTCAGGTGGCAAAAGTGGTTGAAAGCTAGGAGCTTATTTCACAGTAGGTAAAGGTCAAGTCAAATCAAGGTTGATATATGTCTTACCTTTTCCTGCCTTAATTAGCTGTTTCCCAACCTCAAGAGTTACATAAGCTGTGCCATTAAGAACAATGTCTGTGATCGTTCGCCAGGCGTTTGCCGATAGTCTTTCCGAAGGAGAAATGAAGTTCCCAGCAGCATTGTTTATCACAACCTGAGAACAGAGATTATTAATACTACCACCACCACTACCACCACCACCAGCAGCAATACAGACATACAAAACCAACACATTTTTTTTTTTTACAGCTTAAAGTTGTTCTAAAGCCTTAGGGTTTTTTTTTTAACCTTCATGCATTCTCTGCATTACGATAAAAAACCTTCTGTGTCAAGGGTCTCCACAGCCCCTCCTTATACTTACCTGAGCCCAATCTCCGTACCCGAGATCAGCAGCTCTCTCTGATCTCTCCATCCTCACAGGGCAGATTGATAGCAGTGGGAGCCATTGCTCTTGTTGCTATCAATCAAATCCTGTAAAGAGGGAGCAGAGGGCACGGCAGAGCCTTGCTGTCTGTGTCTATGTACAAAGGCAGAGCAGCTCGGGATTGAACCTAAAAAATATTAGTAAAAATGGTGTTGCATTGTCCAATACCTTACCATGCGTTACATATGCTTATAAACTGAACTAAGCATTCTATATATGTTGCAATAAAACTATTTACTATTATTTTGATTGATGCATATGTGGGAAAACATAGGGTATTGGAAGCAGTCACATATTATTTTGTTAATAAAAAATGAACTCCTGTGCTACCAAACCCTACGTATGTTTGGTAGCACAGGAGTTCATTTTTTGTAATTTGAGATTGAATCCGCAGGTGTGCCATGATAGGAAGCAGCTTCCTATGGTGGCACACCGAGAAGAGGAGGAGCCAGGATCGCTGGTAGGGGATCGGGGAAGAGGAGGTTTGGGGCCACTCTGTACTCTATTTAAAAACAAAGTTAAGATTCAGACTTTAAGTGCTTTCATTAATCTATGTTAAAATGAAGAAGTCTCATATGTAACTGAGCTCTACCGAGATTATACTTGAATGGTCAGACTTGGATTACTCATAACTAGACAACTTTTTCATGGAGCAGAATGAGCAAGACTTGGATTGTCATTGTACCGCTCTCTGATTCAGATAACAACATTTGGATATAGCACACATTTAGGGGCAGTTACAGTTTTCATGGAGGAGACAGAACTATATATCACCTTGAAAATTCAATAAAAAGTTATAGTAAGCATGCCAGTGGATACTTATCACTTGGGAATTAAAGTAGACCTAACTCACAAAGCTAAGACTTGTCATATTATAGTGAACCTCTCATTAACTGTGCCTAGACAGTACCATGAAATTCTTTTTGTCTTGAATTTGTTCTTAAAAGAAAAAAAAACAAAAAAAAAACACAAAAACAGTGCACTTCCTTGGATGCAAGTGTGCCACAATTTTGTGCATACAACCTCAAAAAGGTGTTACTACCTCTGACTGCTAACTCTCACAGGAGTTGGAGTGTGATTTGGTGATTTTACCAGCGTTTTGCTTGCTGGCGGGAAATCTGCACTGCAAGCAGCTTCCTGCTTCTGCTTTATTCATTCTGTTGGTCTATGCTTCACACTCATGCTGCTGCTTAAAACGTTCTTCCACCAATCATTAGATCACTATTCCTCAGGGGCAGCTTTAAATAATCCTTTGCCTTCTGCCTGTTTTTTTGGCATACAGCTTCTAAGTTCAGGTCCTCCAATATCTGCCTGGCCCGATTAACACAAATGGATGATAATATCAGCAGCGTGCAGACTTTTAAAGTTGCTAAGTGACTCCTTTTGGTTAAATTTTACATTTCAAGTTTGTCTCCAGCAGTTCATCCACTGTTAAATTCCTCGGTTTACTTATTTGGTGGCATTTCTTTTCACTCTGTTCTTTTGCTCCATTACTTTATTCTACTGCATCTATTAATGTCTGCTATAGGATCCAATGATATCTGTTCCCCTGGGCTCTCCCTAAGCTTTTTAAAACTGCTTCCAGATTTACTTAAGCTTCTTGTCAGGTCCATTCTTGGCTTCTGAGTACATTTAAACTTCTGAAACATATCTTCTCTTTATCTCATATTGTGTAAATGCATTTTACAGACTTTGCACATACCCAGATTGTATGCACCAATGATCAGAGCTGTTGTACCTCCGTTACCAACACAGAATATAATAGGTAGCAAGTAAACATTTATGATATACCTAGAAGTTTATGGAATATGATGCCTCAAAACAGGAGAAAAATATAGGGCCAAAGTTACATAAAATTATATTTCACACTGTATAAATAAAAATTGCTGCATATTCACAGTAATTGAGATGTTTGAGGCTTTTTGTTTCTTGCTTTCTAGCTTACTGCTCTATGTAGAGATGGAGGTACCACAATGACAGCTGGCAGATTACTGAACAAGAATTTATGTTTATGTGAGAAAATGTCACTCTCCACTGCACCACTTCGATTTTCTTTTTCACATCTTCTGTGCTGGTCAACTCCTGAAACTAATGAAAATGTATCAACACATTCTGCAATATGTTTTTTTAAAGCAGATAAAAGATCTGCATTTAATCCAGTTATATAAATCGTTAAAGTATATATTTGAAGTAGTTCTAAGGTCTCAAGGTTTTTTTACCTTAAAGTGGAATTGCACTACATTTGAGTACCACAAACCAAAAAAATGCTATAAATTTAATTTTTATTCAAAGCAAAAATCGCCCATACATTCATGTCTCCATGCTTTATTTTGCTGAGAAATAATTTTGAAAAACAAAAACACCCCTGGCATTTCTGGTAGCGGCTATCTTGAGTAAAGGCAGATGATATGTATCATTTACTTCCTGGCATTCATCTGCCCTTAGATCAGGCATAGGCCGAGCTGAGAACCCTCCCTCCCCTCCTGACTCCCGGGATGTATGATATCATTTGCCTAGGCATGGAAACCAGGAAGCAACTAAAAAATGTAAAAAATAGCTTAAAATAAGTAAATAGGATATATTTTCCTATTTTCTAATGCTAGCAGCAGAAGGATTAAAAATAGTCCATGACTAAGAGTGAAGTTCCACTTTAATGCTTCCATACATGAAGGTAAAAAGCCTTCTGTAACCAGCCCCCCCACCAATACTTACCCAAGCCCCATCTCAATCCAGCGATGTGCATGAGAGCAGTGGCTACCCCATACCTCGGTCTCCTCATTGGCTTAGATACAGCAGTGGGAGCCATTGGCTCCCATTGAGCCAATGAAAGAGGGAGTGGGGTGAGGGGTCGAGCCGCATTCTGTGTGAATAGACACGCAGAATGGGGTTCAGGAGCGAGCCTACATGATTGCCCCAATTGCAAACGGCATGCTATGGCGGTACTTGGCAGTGAGGAAGAGCCAAAAGTGCTGGGCAGAGGACCCTAAAAGAAGAGGATCACGGCTGCTCTGTGCAAAACCATTGCAGCGCAGGCAATTATAACAGGTTTGTTTTTTTCCCCCTTTAGGATAACTTTAAATCATCATCATCAGAACACCTTAAAGCGGACCTCCACCCAAAAGGGGAAGTTCCGCTATAAGGCCTTGCCCCCCCCTTTCCCCATTAAGGATTTGCACCTTTAGGGAGCGGGGGTTCCAATTCTTAACTGGACCTCTGCTTTAAGCAATAAGATTTTGCATGGTATTGTAGAAAATCTTAACAGTTTTTAAAATTAATGCAAAGAGATGTTTTTGTTTGTTCTTATTCCAAAATGGCTTGGGGAAACAAAAAAAAAAACAAAAAAGATACTTGGACATCCTCTCTTTCAGTTGTGCTCATTTGCAGTTTTATTGCACATGTGAGTTAATCTAGCCAATATGCTGATCTGTTCTGTCCTAAAATTGAACCCCTTATTCCTTAGCATCTTGGAAGTATAATGAGCACCCTCAGTGACTCCATCCGGACACAGAAAAATGATTTCATCACTTTCTACTAAATTGTTAAGCTTTAGGCAGATTAGTATCTTCAACACACAAATTCACACTAAACTCAATTAGAACATAATACACTTCATAAGAAATGTCTAGAATGAGTTTGACATCCCTGTGGATAGATGATACATTTTTAGCGTTAATAATCTAAGGGAAAGCCTAGGGGAACTCCATTAGATTTGCTGCCTAATATAGTCCAGCGCCTGTTGTGACCCATTTACAAAACTTAATGGCACACTACACAACCTCATAAAATATCTATAAATTAAAATCTACTCACATCATTTTTAGTGAAGGTATGCAAATGCACAATTTCTCTCCATAAGATTGCCTTCCTTGTGAAATTGTACCAACAGTCCAAAAATGAAACAAAAATTAGCTGTTTAATTAGATACAATGGTAAAAACCAGGAGCACCCTATAATGTGAAAGTGCCTTTTAGTGACTAAAAGATATACGATTAAAATACAACTGGTGTGCCCAACCAAAATAATGTGATTACAATTATATTTAAAGTGTACCTGTACACAGAAGTGCTTTACTAGGCTAACCTGCACACTATGTAACAGTACCTTCCCTTACCTTCATGTGCTTGTTTTCTACCCTGATCCACAAGTGCAGCTCTTCACAAAAACTTACTTTCTCAAAACTGAAACCTGCAATGCCATAAAGAAAACTCCTATCCCCTGGAGACTGGCCATCCAGACACCATGTACTGCATTGTGGGGGATGGGGATGGTCACATACTCCTCCACACCAGAAGGCACCACGTTTTACTGAGGTCATAGAGTGGCAGGGAAGCATCTTTGGGTGCCTTCTGTAAAGTATGCAGGGTGTTTAAGGCAAACCAATGTCCAGTACAGGTTTGCAAAAACAGTGGTTCTTGTTCAGACAACACAAGACCACGCCTATCGGGATCAATGTGTTTTGGATTCGGTCACTTACAGACCATCTACTATGATCTACCAGTGAGCCTATTTGAAGTAGAAATTCGTGCACGAGGAAGCAAGACACGGACACTGTTTGCAGTTTGTCAACTTCCCAATTTCTGCTTTATTGAGGAACTGATCGTAACATATATAGATCCTATGATCTTATAAAGCTGTCTTTTTTGCTTAAGGACCCAAGAATCCATGTTCAATGACATGTAGTGAGGTGCAATTAAAAAGAAATAAAAATATTCCGTTCAACTGACTTTTGG